CTCTGCCTTATCCAAAGCTACAAAAATGTTTTGGCCTCATATACACCCTAATTCGATTCATGCTGCGTCTTGATGCTCAGAACATTACTATAACTTCTGGCCCATGCCAAACCACTTCAAAGCCATTAGCCTCAATGCAGGCAAAACTCTAGGGGCTCTATTTATTAAACAAAAAAAAAATATTCAAAATCTACAAATCATACCCATTTGAATGTATTTTAAAATGTGCGAAATTTTATTTTCTAGAATTTATGTTATCTTTTGCAGGATGAATATAACATTTTCTAGTACACTAAGAGCCTGAGAGAGAACAGCCTGTGAATATTTGATCAGCAGAGAAAATAGCCTACAACAATACTATAAAACAACAGCCTGAGAACATTCAAACAGAAGAGGAAATAGCCTAAAGTGGTTGTAAAGCTCAGACATGAAATAAGAACAAAGCACAGCCTACAATAGCCTAAGAACTTACAGCTGGAATAGCCTAAAAGAACATTCAACCAGAGAAGAAAGTACTTTCAAGAGAAACTTCCTCCTGAATGTGTGAATATACTTGTGCTGAAAGATTCTTACTAACCCAAGAAGTCCAGCACTGTCTTCCCCACAGCTGATTCTTCTCAGGACTTCAGATCGCCAGGGTTGCTCCCTTGGATTTGGGAGCTTGGTGTAACTTGATGCCTCACAGCCAGCATTCCAGTGAGCATGTGCAAGATCTTGGAACAAAGCAAGATTGGTCCTGTAGACTCCTGGGAAGTGTGACATTATCCCAGGAGGCTGCGGGAAATGGGGTGTGGTTGACTGAGGCAACATCATTCTCTCCTAGGTAAGTATGAAGGAATTGGAACTGGTTACTATCAAAAAAGGTACTTGCTCCTTGGCAAAAAGGCTGTAGTTTCTTTAAAGTCTGCGAGGAGCAACAAAACAATTTCGTTCTTGTGTGAAGGTCCACTTTAAGAACATTTGATTTTGCCCTATTTGCACTACCATCGTGTAAAGCCTTAAGAATCCAGCCTGAGCTGTGCCAACCCTCCCCTTCCAGGAAGATAAGTCGAAGCTGGTCAGAACTGCCTCAATTTGCACAGACCTTTGAAACATTTTGTTTCAGAACCTACAAGAACACAGCCAACCTCCTTCACAAGGCACTTAGCGTTATCAGAAGGAGAAATAATGACCATACAGATCTCCACAGTACATAGTAGTATTTGAAACTGAAACCCTGAAGGTGACACACCAGTTTTTGTTCAGATGACTCCTTGGAGTTGTGTAAAAACCTAAGAAAAGAGATTGAAACCAATGATACTGATACTGAAACCAATCACAGCCATTCTTCTTTTGTGTTTTCTAACTTACAGTCAGGTCCATAAATATTGGGACATCAACACAATTCTAACATTTGTGGCTCTATACACCACCACAATGGATTTGAAATGAAACGAACAAGATATGCTTTAACTGCAGACTGTCAGCTTTAATTTGAGGGTATTTACATCCAAATCAGGTGAACGGTGTAGGAATTACAACAGTTTGCATATGTGCCTCCCACTTATTAAGGAACCAAAAGTAATGGGACAGAATAATAATCATAAATCAAACTTTCACTTTTTATACTTGGTTGCAAATCCTTTGCAGTCAATTACAGCCTGAAGTCTGGAACGCATAGACATCACCAGACACTGGGTTTCATCCCTGGTGATGCTCTGCCAGGCCTCTACTGCAACTGTCTTCAGTTCCTGCTTGTTCTTGGGGCATTTTCCCTTCAGTTTTGTCTTCAGCAAGTGAAATGCATGCTCAATCGGATTCAGGTCAGGTGATTGACTTGGCCATTGCATAACATTCCACTTCTTTCCCTTAAAAAACTCTTTGGTTGCTTTTGCAGTATGCTTTGGGTCATTGTCCATCTACACTGCGAAGCAGCGTCCAATGAGTTCTGAAGCATTTGACACCTACCTCCTGGAGAGTGTTCTTGATCTGGCCAACTGTTGTGAAGGGTGTTTTCTTCACCAGGGAAAGAATTCTTCGGTCATCCACAACAGTTGTTTTCCGTGGTCTTCTGGGTCTTTTGGTGTTGCTGAGCTCACCGGTGCGTTCCTTCCTTTTAAGAATGTTCCAAACAGTTGTTTTGGCCACGCCTAATGTTTTTGCTATCTCTGTGATGGGTTTGTTTTGTTTTTTCAGCCTAATGATGGCTTGCTTCACTGATAGTGACAGCTCTTTGGATCTCATCTTGAGAGTTGACAGCAACAGATTCCAAATGCAAATAGCACACTTGAAATGAACTCTGGACCTTTTATCTGCTCATTGTAATTGGGATAATGAGGAAATAACACACACCTGGCCATGGAACGGCTGAGAAGCCAATTGTCCCATTACTTTTGGTCCCTTAATAAGTGGGAGGCACATATGCAAACTGTTGTAATTCCTACACCGTTCACCTGATTTGGATGTAAATACCCTCAAATTAAAGCTGACAGTCTGCAGTTAAAGCACATCTTGTTCGTTTCATTTCAAATCCATTGTGGTGGTGTATAGAGCCAAAAATGTTAGAATTGTGTTGATGTCCCAATATTTATGGACCTGACTGTAGATCTGAGCAAAAATTAATGTCTACTGAGATGATTTCAAAAGTAGTGATGGTGCCAGTATTATCCAAGAGTTATGTAATTAAAAATGCAAATACTTCAGCTTCTTGCATCATCATTTCCTGTTTATCTCCAAGAGTCAACAGCATGAACCAATTACATCAAATGATGCTTGAGAGTTCTCACCTGCTGTATATAACATAAAATGTATTATGTTCTACAATGCTACCTCACTGTCTGTTGATTATTAGTTGAGTTTTGCCCCTACTGCACCTGTTGTTAATTTCATTCAAAACAGCTGAAACTGATTAATAACCCCCTCCGCTACTTAACTGACCAGATCAATATCCCAGAAATTTTCCTCTAATTTGTTTGAGAAGTGTATGTGTATATATATATATATATATATATATATATGTGTGTGTGTATATATAATATACATATATATATATATATATATACATACACTCAACAGACCTCCTTCCCACACATAGCTGAGATCAGATTCCCCACAGAATCGATTTACACAATATGTGACCCCTGTACCCTGCCGAGCTAACCCTTGTCCTCTGCACTGCTGACCCTATCTTCTGTCCTGCTGACCCCTGTCGTCTGCCATGCTAACCCCTGTACACTGCCCTACAAACTGCCCCCCCCCCGGCATTTTTTTACCGCACCCCCAAATCAGACAGGCTAGATCCAACCCTGCCTTTGATCACCCTAATACAGTGTCAATGTATATTATTAGCACAGATCACTGTATTAGTGTCACTGGTTCCCACAAAGTGTCAGTTAGGGCTAGTTTCTCAATAGATGCAGTTCAGTGTGCTTTTTTTCTGCATCAAAAATGCACAGTGTTTTCCATGTATTCCAATGGCCCTAGTTCACACTAGTGCAGTCAGTTTCCAGAGCAGAAAAAGAAGTAGACCATACTGCATTTTTTCTGCTCAGAATCATACTGGAACATGGCAAACTGCATCAACTCATGGGGCCCCTGGGCAATAGAGGATCATGGGGCCCCTGTGTCCTCGCCCACACTCAAACCACACTCAAAAAACCCTATGAAAGATACCAGGGGCACCTCATGGGGCCCCCTACTAAACCCCAGGCCCTCGGGCAGTGCCCGAGTACCCGAATGGTCAGTCCACCCCTGCCTGGTTTACCCAACTTGCTGGCCTTGTTTACAGCAGCTCTACATGAACTGAAAGGGTTCAAAGTGTACAGTACCGCTCCAGTACTGGCGAACTGCATACACTTCTAGATGTACATAGTTTTTTGTCCTAATTTTAGTTGCACCTTAAATCTGAGCTCCACCCTATAGGGGAAGTTCCGCTTTAAGCCTTTGTCCCCCACTCCCCCCATTAATGATTGGCACCTTTGGGGAGCGGGGGGGGAGGGGGTACCTGAATTTCACAGGTACCCGCTACCACTTCCGCTGCGATCACCTAGGCGATTGGAAGCGAACGTTGTCCTCCCTGTGGTCTTCTGGGACCCGTAACAAGTCCCAGAAGACTACAGGGCCATTCACAAATTGCAGCACTTTTCGTGCATGTGCAGTGGGCACCCGCTTGTGAAGCCTCAAGCTGTCACAGCCGAGTACCCACACTGAAGATTCGCCAGGGAGAGAGGACGGCCGGTGAAACCAGCGGTGGTGAGGACACTGCTGGACCGAGGGACAGGTAAGTATCTGTATTTTAAAAGTCAGCAGTTACAGTTTTTGTAGCTGCTGACTTTTATTTATTTATTTTTTTCAGGTGGAACTCCGCTTTAATAAAATGATAGCAATTTGTACAATAGGTAGTATTAATCATCATAACTTGACTTTAGATCACATTTTTATTTAGATAAAGAATCCATTTGACCACACCACAGTATTTTTTTTCTAGTATGTACATAAGCTACATGCTTTTTTTGCATTAATAGGCCTCATTCTTATGATGAACACTAATGCAGCCCACAAGGCCGCAGGTGACTTAAAAGCACCTACACATGAAGGCAGGTATTGTGAAGACATCTTAACCAAGGAAAGCATTATAAATACAACTCTTTGAAACATGTTTTTGATACAACTATTGCTATTCTTCACTATGGCAGCTGAGAAGACATTTTGCATTGTTTGAAACATATGTAGACAGTTTAGAAGACCAAGTATCTTTCTTTTCCTCCAGGCTTTGTTACAATTGCATGGTTGCAAACATTCCAGTTCCATGAACAAATATGGAAACCACATGGCCAATCCCAACTTTCATTCAAGGTTACGTCACCACCACCCACTAATGAATGGTACATTGCCCATTTTGTCACCATAATCTAGGAAAATTCTGAGAAATCAGGGCCTGCAACTGATTTGTGTTTCAAACTCTGATACGTTCATCATTTATTAGTATTATTTTTAAGTCCCAAGATTTCTATCATTTGATTCTATGAGCCTGTATCTGAGACAGCAGTGCTCATTCTTTGGTTTGTAACTGCTTTTATTGCTTGCTTTGCCTTATTTTTTTTCCAATGAAAAAGTTTCTTTATCCGCTGTCTCTGAGAACATGGTGGTTGTTGACTGTGGAGTAGATTCCACATAAGCCAGATCTCTGCAGCCTTCAAGCTATGTACCACCATCAAGTCCCGGTAGAAGCAAGGATCAAATGTTTGCAGATGGGGGGCTGCTGAGGGTTTGGTAATTCCAAAAGTTTTAAACCCTTCGTGTAGCACCGGCGTGATGTTAACTCTCTGTAAGCACATGCCAAGAAAGACATCATCTATTGGGAAGAGCTCCACCTCCTTGCAGGATTTAGAGAGTTTCTTCATGGTCACGCCTGACATTAGGAATCCTCCCCCACCCGCATAAGCAGGGTACATGCCTAACCCATACATCGTCTCTGGTATGAAGTATTTACTCTTCTTTGATCGTATGGGCTTAGCATGATTTATAATATCACCAACAAACAAGTCCGTGGAAGGATCTCGAGTCTGTGAGTAACTAATCAGATTCTCTACATTGACAAAAACATCAGTGTCTCCTTTGAATACAAACTTAACGTTGCTGCAGAATTGTTCTGCCCAGTTAAGAAAGTGAATCTCTTTCAGTGTTAAGTTAAAGAAAGTATCAAGAAAATCCCAAAGTAGGATGTCCTTGTAGTAATGGCTTTCCTGTAGCATGAGTGACTCCCACATAGACACGGCAGATTTATTCCTGGGCGTGCCCAGAAGGAACACTCTTCGAACCCTTGCCCCATTAATAACCCCTTCTCGACCCCAGGTCTTACGCACACTCTCTCGCGGTCAAATTCTTCCACAATGGACTTTACAGCAATGAGGAGGAAAGAATCTCCTGGGGGTTTGGAACATTTATTTGGCTGGTTGATCAGCAGGGTGAAGTTTCGATGGTCCTTACTCCTGAGATATTGCTGGAAGTCAAACAAGGGTGGTGTAACTGCAGCCCGATCAGTAGGCTTATTTTGCTCAATATCCTCCTCTGCATGGTATGCTTCTGACAGAAGCCTGGCACTACTCGCCCTTTCCTTTGTTTCCAAAAACTTTTTCGGCTTTGCAGTTTTGGAAATGATCTTTGCCGGCTTTGGTTTAACGGGAGTTATTTTTGACGTTGGTCTCATCAGACTGTAGAATAATGTACACAGAGCGATGAAGAGAAGAAGGGTGCAGAGAATATCCCCTTTAAGACGAACTTTCATTGTTACCTTGACGTTTTTAGTGGTTACGTACTTGTATCATATAGAAGTTTGTATGATCCCATCTGAAACAAAGAACATGAATTGGAATAATTAAGATGTTATAAATTCATGAAATATATACAGTATATTTATTGTTTTTAAACTATGTCATACCAAGGAAGTGACTAAAAGGATTAACCAACTGATGTACTGAAAGTATTTGCATTTTTTTCAAGATTTGTGGAAACTTTATGAAGATTTGTAATAAACACTTCCTTTTATAAAAAAAATGTCTGTCCCCCTTCTTAAAAATCAATAAAGGCAATATCTAACCATGCCGATTTCAGATGTGATCTGCACAAGAATCCTGGAGGAAGAATTATGTGAATTAGAGCCTGTATTCACCATAGAGTTATAGTGGCCATGCTGTGGACACTATAAATTTTTAATTCCCTGGCTACATCCGTGAAAAACCAGGCGGTCCAATTTCATGGGCTCTAAAAGTGCCACCTTTAATCTTTACATATTGTCACTTGAACTATTGAAAATGCTGTGTCTTGTACCTTTTTGTATTTAAATATGTTAGTAGGCACTTCTCCACTGATCACCAGGCTAAGAGGACATTTTCAATTGGTTGCCACTGTATGGGGACCCTTTCCAGCTTACCATCAGTATATGAAGGCACCACACTGGCCATCATTACAATGATCAGCAATGTAGAAGGGGCCCTTTCTATTGACCACCAATGTAAGGGGTCCATTCTGCACTGATCACCAATGTCAGGGAACAGTACACTGACCACCCATGTAAGCGTGTCCTTCCCCACTGATCACTGATATCAGGGGTCACTACACTGACCACCAATGTGAGGGGGTCCTTTTCCAGTGATCTCCAGTGTCAGGGGACACTACACTGACCACCAGAGTAAGGACCCTTCTCCACTGACCACTGATATCAGAGGACTCTTCTCGATTGACCACTGTTATCAGAGGACTCTTTTTCTATTGACCACTGAGGGCCCTTCTCTGCAACCACTGACTCTTCTCTACTGATCTTCAATGTAAGGGTCCTTCTCCACTGACCACCATCATAAGAAGACATCACATTGGCCATCATTGGGACACTACAGGGATCACTAATGTAATGTGTCCCTTCTCCAATGTCAGGGGACCGTACACTGACCACCAATGTGAGGGGTCTTTTTTAAACTGTTCACCGGTATCATGGGACACTACAAGGGCTCTTCTCCAGGGCAGTCTTAATGCATGGGCACCCCCAGGTGCATGGGATCCCCAGGATAATCTTGCAATACATTATACTTGCCATTTGCCCCGGATTTGCTGGGACAGTCACGCTTTTAACTAAGCTGTCCTGGCATGGCCTGGGCAGCATCCTAGAACCTGGCCTGTGCTTTCTTGATCGCAGTATTATGCCCTCCTGACTTCCCTTGTACTATGCTCCTCTGTCTCCCCCCCCCCCCCCCCTTACTGTGCTCATTGTGTTGATTACTCTTTGATTTATGTTTTCTTATTGTTTAAAACCAAGTTTATTGAAAGTACTAATAAATACATTTTTAACTCTCAACTATTATATCCACTATTTATACTATAATTCTTGAGCGTAAGTGCGTAAATTGGGGCAGACTGGTAGGGACCCCAGTGCAGTACTTTGCCCAGAGGCCCATAATGTTGTTAAGACGGCCCTGCCCTTCTCTACTAATCCTTTTCAACTGACCACTGATACCAGAAGACTCTTCTCTACTGACAACTGATATCAGAAGACCGTTCTCTATTGACCACTGATATCAGAGGACCACCAACCTAAGGGCATATTTCCACTGGGAAATCGGGATCCTTCTCAACTGACCACCATTGTTAGGGGAGACTACACTGACCAGCAGCGAGATCTTCACATGTAAATATTAGGAGCTGGCTTACCTCCGTTCCCAGTATGCCATTCTGTGTCTTGCTGGAATTAGTTGACAGTTCTACAGCAGTCTATATGGATTTTGCTGACAACAGGCAGACTGGAGCAGAGAGAAGAGGAGAGCCAACCCCTGAATTTTCCACATGAAGATCTCTGAATCAGAGGTAAGTGTACTGTACCAATTACAATTTTTGTGATTATCTTTTCTGAACTGAAGACTAAAATGATGCGGACTGTCAGTTCAGGGTGGAATTTTTACTAGCAGATTCCCAATTTAAAAAAAAAAAAAAGAAAATCACTTGTATGAAAAGCTCTCATGGCCCTTAAATGAAACATGTCATTGTAGACCTACTCTTTAAAATGACAGATTTCAACATTTTCAACTTGCAGTTCAGAACATTTGCCTTCACTGGGTGCATATTTATTTCAGATCAATGGTTCAGTGTTGAAGCCAAAGAATCAATATGACAGTAAGGTAGGTAGTATTTTCAAAAGGAGATCAGCAACTTACAACGTCACTCTCCATATTTCCTACACAGTATGCATTTTGAAAACACATTATTGCAAGTTAAACCGCACAGCATTTCAACAGCCAATTCCATTTTAATAGGCTGGCAGTGTAACGTAATACACACAAAAATGGACATGCACTATTTTATTAACTCATTGCACATCGACATATATTATTCACATATGTGCCTTGTAGCATGCTACAGCACTGGGAAAGGTTCAAGCAGCACAAAAGCTCAGTCAGTTGTACGGCAGGGTTCATGTGCTAGCAAAGAAATGCTGACAGGAGTACAGAGAGGAGCAGCAGTGTGTGCTTCCCCTTTCTCTGTCAAGTCAGCAGCTGGAGGGATAAGACCTCTAAGTGTATCTTAAATGCAGCAAAGAAACATCAGGTCTTCTGCCCTGCCAGAAAGGGCTGTACTGCGTGGTAGAGCAGCGTAAATCCTAGGACTGGATGGAGAGAAATTCTAAATTCCATACATATATCTCCCAACTTTCTGAGATGAGAAAGAGAGACACCTTAGTATAAGGTGTGTATGTAGGCAGGTGCAGTTTGTCCTCCATCCAGTAGATGGCAATGTGCCACAGTATATATGGCACAGAGGCTTAGGGGAACATTGTTCCTTTGCAGGCTCCATAGGTGTCTCAGAGTGATCCGCTGTCTGATTGGACACTGCAAACTCTGGTGACCTTTGGTGGCCCTCTTGGGTGAGACAACCCTTTTTGAATAAGGGTTCACAGCTCATTTTGGCATAGTTTGAGTGAGTGGTTAGGTCAGGGACAGTGACCCCGACTGTTAAGGAGAGTCATAGCGAGAGTCATAGCGCAGGGAGTGGTTCCTGCCTTGTATCAACCACCACCAGCCTGAACCGTTGATACAAGGCAGGATGGATCCATGCTTTCATGTTGACCTCTGACATCAACAAGGCATTTTCGTCCACACAACTGCCGTTCACTGGATATTTTCTCTTTTTTCAGGCCATTCTCTCTAAACCACGGGTGTCAAACCGGCGGCCCTCCAGCTGTTGCCAAACTACAAGTCCCATGAGCCATTTCAAAATTGACAGTTACGAGCATGACTCACAAAGGCAGAGGCATGATGGGACTTGTAGTTTTGCAACAGCTGCAGGGCCGCCAGTTTGACACCCCTGCTCTAAATCCTAGAGATGGTTGTGCGTGAATATCCCAGTAGATCAGTTTTTCGAATACTCAGACCAGCCCATCTGGTACCAACAACCATGCCATGTTCAAAGTCACTTAAATCCCCTTTCTTCTCCATTCTGATGCTCAGTTTGAACTTCAGCAAGTCGTCTTCACCATGTCTACCTTGCTAAATGCATTGAGTTGCTGCCACGTGATTGGCTGATTAGCAATTTGTGTTATCAAGCAATTGAACAGTTGTACCTAATAAAGTGCCGGGGAGTGCATGATTCACTGCAGTATAAAGTTTCTAGTCAATAAATAGTAAATTTTTATAGAGGTCTATGCATCAGATCAAAAAAGAGGGACAACTGGTAAGTAAAGAGGGTCTGAGGGATTTGGTTCAAAAACAGAAACAGTTGGGAACAATGCCATACATGTATTTCACCTTTGTATATAGCTGTTTGCCTGGAATTCAGCTTTAATAATACATGCAGCTACCCATTGAACACAGTCATTCCAAACCTTTCCAAACTCTTGATTGAAAATCTGGGAACTGATCTTTAACCTACAGTATGAATACTTCTAAAGCTTAAATTAAAAATGTAATATTATATACGTTTACTGTGAGTTTTTGGTTTTGGATCTCTATTTTAAAGGTTCTGGATTATAGTATGAGAGCTTAAACATTTATATATAAAGCCTTTCGGTGGCTCCCAGGCATCTAAAGGGTGTTTTTATAGAGTGAGTCAGCCCTGGAAAGCTGAATTTCAGTCTTGGCTAAAACATCTGGGAAATGTCTTTGTCAAACTTTTGGAAGCTGAGTAAGAAAAAGCAGAGTTTGTTAAAACACTGAGACCACAAAGCCAAAAGTGCAGAGCTTGGCACAGAGTACGATATTTCCCCATGTGTAATCATTCATTTCAGGGCTTAATGTCATTAGCTTTTAGAAAGATCTCTAGATTTTATGTATCTTGTGCCATCAAGATAAACATACCCTCTTGTGTCAAGTCTAATTTTCAGGAGTTTGCTTGCATCTATTTTTCAGGTCTGGGATTTAAAACCAAACTGTGAACTTTACGAGCGTCTGAGAAAGCTTGGAGCTTGCCAGCCATTAACCAGTCCAGAAAAGGGATTCCCACTTTACATGGAAGAATGGTGATGGACATTCTAGACTCGTGTACCAAGTACCCAATGGACCTTTTCCAGTGATATGGAGGAGACGTGGCTATTGTGACTAATCTTACTTTTGATAAAGAGCGGTCATGTGGTTTTAATTAGAGGAATTAGTTTTATGTTATTCTACTTTTTATCAAGAACTGAAATCTTATAAAGTTTAAGCTCAACTCCAGTGAGACTTTTTTTTTTTAAATCCATTGGTCAGCACTGTGTAAAACAAGACAAAACAAAAAAATCAGCTTTCATGGCCATACTATGCTTTACACCTGTGCTGTCCTTTGCAGATATTATTGCAGGCACTATTCTCTGGTTCATTACCAGTTCTCTTCTGGATTGAATGATGCTCAGTGTCTTTAAATCCGCTTTCTGTGAGCCTATAGTTAAGGACTCATGTCAATGGGCATTCATTTTCTTGCGTTTGATGTGCATCTGTAACATCTCATTGACTTTAATTGAACAGTACACATGCAGTTCAGAGGCTGCACTTAACCTGTTTTGTGTTGCGCTACATTTCTGTAGACACACTGGGGTTTATTTACTAAAGCTGGAGAGTGCAAAATCAGACTCCCTTCTGCATAGAAACCAATCAGCTTCCAGGTTTCATTGCCAAAGCTTCATTGAACAAGCTGAGGTTAGAAGCTGATTGGTTTCTATGCAGAAGGGAGTCTGATTTTGGACTCTCCAGCTTTAGTAAATAAACCCCACTATGTCCTATTAGGTGCACCTGAACTGCAGGCAAAGCGGGTCAAATGCTGCATTTTCCATTTGAATGCAGCTGTATGTGTTCAAATAGAAAAAACACCATTTGACTAGAATGCTCGTTGACATGAACTATTGGGGATAGATGATCAGGGCACCCTGCACTCACAGTACAAATCTGAAAAGAATGGAGCTGACTGCACTATATCAGCAATGCTAACTACATCAATAAGGATGAACTATCGCTGTAGAAGAGAGAAAGAAGAGGACCATGCAAATTACATGATCAGCAAGAAACCCCGGGAAAGAAGGTATGTGGGTTTCTGTGGGCATTATGAAAGGGTTGCACTCAAATTTTAGGATTTTAAATTGATTTCATATTATGGAAAATACAACAGGAGGAGCTAAACCATAAAGATAGGTGAGTACACCCAAAGCCCCTCAGCAGAAATTAGGTCAGGAAGATTTCAGTGTTGGAGTATCTAACATATATCCACCAGGCTCCATCAGCATCTAAATTGCCTCCTGATTTGAACAGTGCTGCTTGGCCTGTCCACGGCCTGGGAGGGCAGAAAGCCCATGGCGTCAAGTGCCCCCCCCCCTCGGGAGTGGTGCCCTGGGGGTGCTTCTAGTTTCAATATGTATTTGGGACCCCATTGTGAGAATTAGCACTTGGCCACGACATCATTCCCTCTTTTTGTACAATGCCTTTTGGCCAAGATCGGGGTAATTTTTGTTACCAGGCCGCAAGGCCTAGCCCAGGGGTGGGCAAACTTTTTGACTTGAGGGCCGCAATGGGTTCATATATTGGACCCGGGGGCCGGACCAAGAGTAGATGAATGATGTGTATGTGTCATCCATAGTAAGTATAGTAATATTCCCCCATAGTAAGCATAGTAATTCATAGTAATTCCCCCATATAGTAATTCATCCCCCATAGTAATTCATCCTCCATATAGTAATTAATTCATCCCCCATAGTAATTCATCCCCCATATAGTAATTCATCCTCCATAGTAATTCCCCATCCCCCCTATAGTAATTCATCCCCCATAGTAATTCATCATCCCCCATATAGTAATTCATCCCCCATAGTAATTCATCCCCCATATAGTAATTCATCCCCCATAGTAATTCATCCCCCATATTAAGTCCCCAAGTCCCCCCTGTGTCAATTCACTTACCTTTGCTCCGCGCGTTCCTCTCGCCGTGTTCCCGCGCCGCTCCGGTGTAGCATGAAAATCTGTCTCCTATGAGGATCTGTCCCCCTCGACGTATCTGCGCATGTGCCAGTTTCAGGCATTAGCAGCCGATCGGCAATCTCCGGCACATGCGCAGATACGTCGAGGGGGACAGATCCTCATAGGAGACAGATTTTCACGCTACACCGGTCTTCAGGGCGGACTGTGAGAGGAGCCTAGCGGGAGCCTAGCTCCGCGGGCCGGATTAAAAGGTCCGCCGGGCCGTATACGGCCCGCGGGCCGTAGTTTGCCCATTGCTGGCCTAGCCACTGCATCTGCACTGGAACTTTGTTATTTTTTTCTCCATGTGTGCGTCATTGCACTTATTCTTCTGTTTTCGTTTTTTTTCAGGATAGAGGGTGTGGGTCCTCAGGCCTACCCTTAACTCTAGGAGGAGGATGTGTAGCAATCAGGTTTTTTCCTCCTCTGTCTTATGGAGTCTCTCTAGGAGAGCTTCTCCCCTAGTACTCTGTGGTCGACTTTGGCTGATCACGAGGAGAGGGTGCCTTACCCCAGTCAGACGCCTTGAATCCTAGGGGATCAGGGATGGGTCAGGAGGTGGACCAGAGGACCACTCCAAGTGCACTTTTCTGTATGTTCACTTGTATTTTTTTTGTTCACTTATAGTTAGTTTTGTGCACCCACAAAAAAAAAATCACTTTGGGTGGGCAGACTCTTTAAGCTACTTAGACTTTTATAGTCTGGCTGCTAAAAATACTTCTGACAAAATATATTAGTACAAACACAGATGCTTGTGCCCATAAAGAGGGCAAGCGCTTAGCAGACTATTTAATGTTAGTTTCTCTCTGGTAAAAACATCAGTGATAAACTGATGAGAAAGTTACACAGTGGTTGATTAGTTCTTCCCTGTAGATGTCCTGGGCACTGGGGTGTCTGCCATGGTCAAATAGGGGTTTATTTACTAAAGCTGGAGAGTCCAAAATCAGACTCCCTTCTGCATAGAAACCAATCAGCTTCTAACCTCAGCTTGTTCAATGAAGCTTTGGCAATGAAACCTGGAAGCTGATTGGTTTCTATGCAGAAGGGAGTCTGATTTTGGACTCTCCAGCTTTAGTAAATAAACCCCATAGTGTCTACAGACAGATGAATGTTCCCGTAACCAGCTATAGGTGGATAACAAACGTTCTCTGATATCTGTAGGCACCTTCAGATTGTATGTTCCTTTTTTAAAGAATAGACGAGGGACAATCAAGTCAAACTGGGACTTTTGAGTTTATATAATAAAAAAACTAATTTCAAGTAGTGGAAACTGCATTTATTTTTTGCAAACTCCCCTGTTACATTTATACATTTATCCCAGCATTTAAATAATTCTTGCAAAACTTCGGCATAGAAAGATTTGTCAGTAGGCCTGAACCATCCTAGGACAGCCTGTTTCACTTCGTCATCATTGTTTTCACCGTTCCCACAGAAAGATTAATCTCTTGTGCAATTTCATCGATTATCCAGGATCAGGTGTTCCACATGCTGAATGTTCACAGGAATGTTCGCTGTGGGCTAGGAACCACCACGGCCGAGATCATCACTGAAGGACGTATAGTCATGTTTGACATGTTTACACCATTCATATGTCTTGGCTGAGTGTCTCATCACCCTACTGTGCTTGAAGTCTTCTGTAGAAGACCTACAGTCAGGTCCATAAATTATTGGGACATCAACACAATTCTAACATTTTTGGCTCTATACACCACCACAATGGATTTGAAATGAAACGAACAAGATGTGCTTTAACTGCAGACTGTCAGCTTTAATTTGAGGGTATTTACATCCAAATCAGGTGAACGGTGTAGGAATTACAACAGTTTGCATATGTGCCTCCCACTTGTTAAGGGACAAAAAGTAATGGGACAATTGGCTTCTCAGCTGTTCCATGGCCAGGTGTGTGTTATTCCCTCATTATCCCAATTACAATGAGCAGATAAAAGGTCCAGAGTTCATTTCAAGTGTGCTATTTGCATTTGGAATCTGTTGCTGTCAACTCTCAAGATGAGATCCAAAGAGCTGTCACTATCAGTGAAGCAAGCCATCATTAGGCTGCAAAAACAAAACAAACCCATCAGAGAAATAGCAAAAACATTAGGCGTGGCCAAAACAACTGTTTGGAACATTCTTAAAAAGAAGGAACGCACCGGTGAGCTCAGCAACACCAAAAGACCCGGAAGACCACGGAAAACAACTGTGGTGGATGACCGAAGAATTCTTTCCTTGGTGAAGAAAACACCCTTCACAACAGTTGGCCAGATCAAGAACACTCTCCAGGAGGTAGGTGTATGTGTCTCAAAGTCAACAATCAGGAGAAGACTTCACCAGAGTGAATACAGAGGGTTCACCACAAGATGTAAACCATTGGTGAGCCTCAAAAACAGGAAGGCCAGATTAGAGTTTGCCAAACGACATCTAAAAAAGCCTTCACAGTTCTGGAACAAGATCCTATGGAGAGATGAGACCAAGATCAACTTGTACCAGAGTGATGGGAAGAGAAGAGTATGGAGAAGGAAAGGAACTGCTCATGATCCTAAGCATACCACCTCATCAGTGAAGCATGGTGGTGGTAGTGTCATGGCGTGGGCATGTATGGCTGCCAGTGGAACTGGTTATTTTTATTTATTGATGATGTGACTGCTGACAAAAGCAGCAGGATGAATTCTGAAGTGTTTCGGGCAATATTATCTGCTCATATTCAGCCAAATGCTTCACAACTCATTGGACGCCGCTTCACAGTGCAGATGGACAATGACCAGGGGCGGACTGACCATTTGGAAACTCGGGCACTGCTTGAGGGCCTGGGGTCAGTAGGGGGCCCCATAAGATGCCCCTGGTACCTTTTTCATAGGCTTTTTTGAGTTTGGGCAAGGACACGGGCCCCATGATCTCCTATTGCCCAGGAGCCCCAGGAGTTGTCAGTCCGCCCCTGACAATGACCCAAAACATATTGCAAAAGCAATTAAAGAGTTTTTTAAGGGAAAGAAGTGGAATGTTATGCAATGGTCAATTCATTCACCTGACCTGAATCCGATTGAGCATGCATTTCACTTGCTGAAGACAAAACTGAAGGGAAAATGCCCCAAGAACAAGCAGGAACTGAAGACAGTTACAGTAGAGGCCTGGCAGAGCATCACCAGGGATGAAACCCAGCGTCTGGTGATGTCTATGCGTTCCAGACTTCAGGCTGTCATTGACTGCAAAGGATTTGCAACCAAGTAGTAAAAAGTGAAAGTTTGATTTATGATTATTATTCTGTCCCATTACTTTTGGTCCCTTAACAAGTGGGAGGCACATATGCAAACTGTTGTAATTCCTACACCGTTCACCTGATTTGGATGTAAATACCCTCAAATTAAAGCTGACAGTCTGCAGTTAAAGCACATCTTGTTCGTTTCATTTCAAATCCATTGTGGTGGTGTATAGAGCCAAAAATGTTAGAATTGTGTTGATGTCCCAATATTTATGGACCTGACTGTATACTCACTTTCATTGTTTTTCACCACTGTTCTTTTCCTCCATAACAGTTGTCACCAAATTCCAGTATTTCTAGTGGGCAATTGTCAGGTCTGAACATAGTCACCTGACCAGGAGGATGACTTCCTCAACCCTGTGAAAGGTCCTACATCATCCAAGAAGAGCTTACAAAGGGTTAGAACTGAACAGCAATGGGATGGAGGGAGAGAGTTGTGAATTATAAATGGATCCTGATGGCTGGAGTTTTAAAAGCCCAAAAATTTGGCTTGGATGGGCAGAGTGACCATTTCTTAAAGATGAACTCTGGTCCACAATTCATGTTGAAAAAAAACAACTGCATGGTGCATTTTAGTAACTTGAACTTTATTTTTCCATTCAAGCAGTGTTAAACTCAAAACAAAATATGTAATATATTGCAGCTTACCAATCATTAGATGTGTTGGCTGCATTCATTTTTTTTTATGTATTTTCCCTTCTATTTAATTGGTGATCTGGCCAGTAACACACCTCCTATATTAGAGTGCCCCCACTCTGGATGAAGGAGCACAAGGGGCACAGTAGACAGCAATATTACCAGTTTGGGGGTAGGGTAGTATTAATTGGATTAGAAGATTTATATACAAAAACAAATTGAAGCCAAACTCCAGCTCACATGTTATAATCAATTACAGTAAACAGATTTTTTTTTCCTTTCGAGATAAAGGTTTTACATGAATACATAGAAGCTGATCATTTTAATCACCCCTACCAGAGTTAAATGGTTTGTCTCAAACTTGTAAACTGATACATTTGGAAGAGAGCTTGTTTTTTTTTTAAAAACAACAGACTTACTGGCTGGATCACTAAATGAAAACAGAAGCAAGAAAGCCTTAAAAAGAAATCTAATGCAGCTATCACACCTAAGAACTGGTAAACTGTAATATAATATATGTTTGATTTGGGGTGAACACTGCTTTCAGGCCTCACGAAAGAGAATCTTCAAAAAACACACATCAAAGTGCACATTAGCAGACATTTTTGAGGAATAAGATGTAAATCCCTGAATTAAAGATAGTAATAATGTGCACTTACTTAGAGATTCAGAGGGGACAATTTACTAAAATAGGTGCACTAAGAATCTGGCACAGCTGTGCATGGTAGCCAATCGGATTCTAGCTTCAGCTTGTTCAATTAAGCTTTGACAATAAAACTTGGAAGCTGATTGGTGTTTATGCAACTTTTGCTTGCTGCAGTTTTAGTAAATCCCCCCCCAGAGTTGGTCATAGTGCAGTAATGTGAAACATGTTTGTTGTTATGGGTTACCGTATCTTTTAATATTGTTCTGATAATATTCCAAATTAATGTGGAGATCATTTAGCACAGTGGCTAAATGGTTAGCGCTTCCACCTGGCAGTACTAGGGTCATTGGTTCAAATCCCAGCCACGACACCTCCTGCCTGGAGTTTGCATGTTCTCCCTGTGTGCCTGCGTGGGTTTCCTCTGGGTACTCCAGTTTCCTCCCACACTCCAAAGATGTGCTGGTAGGTTAATTGGATCCTGTCTAAATTGGCCCTTGTATATGAATATGAGTTAGGGACCTTAGATTGTACACCCCTTGAGGGTTAGGGACTGATGTGAATGTACAATATATATGTAAAGAGCTGCGTAAATTGACGGCGCTATATAAGTACCTGAAATAAATAAAAATTTAGTTGAGCTGGGTCAAGCCTCTGCTGCATTGATGATCTGAAGGGTCCTGGTATCTGGGAGTTTCTGCTCCTGTTACTAACAATACAGCCGTACAGTCATAGGCTATGCTTACTTTTAGGGAGAAATCCCCAGACGACCCGGCTTTGTGTAGATCTGCTATTTCCTGTTGTTTTATTACAGCCCATATTTTTACTAATAAAACCAGCATCTGTCTGATTCTCTTGTCCTGAGGGCAGGTCATGGGTACAGAGCTCTCTTCACTGCTGGAAACTCACAATCATATCATATATAATCCACTGGGATGTTAAAGTGGAGTTCCACTCACGCTGTCAAAAACTGTAGCTGCTGACTTTTAAAAAACAGCCGCTTACCTGTCCCTCAGTCCCGCGGTGTGTCCCCGTTTCACCGGCCGCCCTGTATTCCAGGAGGCAGACATCTTCAGTGTGGGCACCCGGCTGTGATAGCTTGCTGCTTCACACCCGGGTACCGACTGCGCATGCGCGAGTAGCGCTGCGCTCCATGAATGGTCCTGTAGTCTTTTGGGACCTGTCACGTGTCCCAAAAGACTACAGGGAGGGAGGGAGGACACCTTCCGCTTCCGCTCGCCTAGGCGATCAGACCAGAAGTGGGAGCTGGTACCTGTCAAATTCGGATACCCGCTCCGTCAGTCCTTGAAGCGGAACTTCCCCTTTTGGGTGGAGCTCCACTTTAACTTTAGTAAGGCTTGATTGGATGGGAAGAATTGTATCTGTTTTGATAAGAGATATATATGCAGGGCCATAGATATTTGTTTTCTTGGAGGGGGTAATCAGCCTTGGGGACCTAGAGGAAGATAATTGGGCAGCACCCTTACCAAGCTATTGCAAACTGTGGGTGTGGCAAAATTAAAACAGTGGGAGGGGCTTAAAATTAGAGCTCACTCACTGTGTACATGGTGACAAATAGCACAGTTCTTGTACCCAAAAAAAAGATTTTTTAATTATTGTGCCACACAAATTTACCTCTCTTCTCAAATCAAAATCCCCCAGTACAGATCTCCCCCCTCCCACTAATAAACATCCCTTCTACTTATTACAGATTTATCTACGGTACAGCTGCCTTATCCTCTCTACATTTCTCTGCCCCAGTACAGCTCCCCAAGTACAGTCCCGCCCCCTTTCACCCCAGTACAGATTTACCCCCAAACAGATTTACCCCCAAACAGTACAGATATCCTTCCCCTCAGTACAGTTCCCACCAACACAGATAGTGCTGGAACAAGGTCATCTAGAGTCCAGGGCGAACATGCCAAACTGCACCCCCCAAAGGTGTATGAGCATTATGTGTTAGCAAAAATCCCCCCCCCAAACAAATTGAGCACTGATATGCATGCTTACCCCCTAGACATATTTTCACTTTCCCCTAGTACAAATCCACCTCCTTGCTGAAATCCCCCCTCCCAGCACAAATCTCTGCCCCCCATAAACCAAATCCCCACGGCACAAATTCTCCCCCCCAAAAAATCACCCCACCCTCCCCTCTGAATACACATCCCCCAATTCCAAATTCCCCCTCAGAGCACAAATCCCCCCCCAACCCCCTTCCTAGCACAAATACCCCCCCCCCCCCCCAATCATCCTTACTAGCACAAATATCCCCACAAAAATTTTTACCACCTAGCACAATCCCCCTCCTCCTCAACCATATCACCTCTTCCAGCACAAAACCCACTTCCTAGCACAAATGCTCTTCCTCCACCCCCCCCCCAAATTTCCCAACCTAGAACAATTCTTTCCCCTTGCCGCTCCCCAAACTCCCCTTCACAACACAAATCTTCCAAGCTCCTTGCAGTGCCCCCCCACCTCACATGATACCACAGTGCCCTGAGCAGCCGCCCCTCTCCTGCCCACCCCTTGTCCTGGCCCTGAACAGAGATATCTCTGTACCCAGTACAGCTCCCACCAGGACAAATCTACCCTCCCCTAGTGCAGATTTCTTCCCAAGTATAGTCTCCCCCAAATACAAATACCCCTCACACCCCACTTGGAATGTCTCCTCCAGTACAAATCCTCCTCCCACCTTCTCAAGTAAGATTTCCTTTATCCAGTACAGAATTCACCCAGTACAGATCCCCCCCCCCCCCCCCCCCTCTCAGAAACACCAGAACACCCGTACAGATCACATGCTTCTTACCATAACAGGGTAAAAAAAAAAGAGAGAGCTTGAGAGGGGTGTCCAACAATATTTTATTGCAAAATAAGAAATATTAGCTCTGAGCTGGTAACCCCGCATCATGAATACTAAAACAAAAGGTCTCATAGTAAGGTCCTAAATGAACTCAATAAATCTCCCTGCTCCATAAAATCCACCCACCAGACCAGGCATTACAGAATGAGGGGAGATCCTCCCTCTGTTCACTTGCTGTTAAAAAAAAAAAGATAGTTCCAGATTTTATTTAGTCTGGCCACACTCCAGGTTTGGGGGGTTATCTAAATCATGGAGTTCTGCTTTAAAGCCCACCTCCAGTTAAAAGTTTCTTACTATTTGGATAGGGTGGGTAAGGGTTAAAAAACCCTTTATTGGTATTGGTCTT